TCAGAAATTTTTGCCGCATTTTAAGAATAGATATTTTATTTTATAAAAATCTACCCTACCACCATCTGGATTAGTCATTATTCCCTGAATATTTCTTACATTTTCCCCTGTTGAGCTTTCATTCTCCTTTTTTGCCTCCTGCCTCCATCCCCATTGATGCAATCCTCACTCTACATCTAATGAATGTCTCCTACTTCATGCCTTCAATGAATCGTTTCCTAGTTTCCCTTCACTCACCAAATTGTAAACATTTAAGACAGGAGCCCTAGACCCTAGAATATAAAATTGCACTATGAATGTAATGGGAAAACATTTCACATTTATTGATTTGAATCAGTAGAAATATGTAACATGTTTTAAAATGTTGTATTTTATGAAGTATGAAATTTTTCACTCAGTAATTAAACTGAAATTGATTTCATTCTGAGTAAAGGTTGTGATAAGTGAGTCTTATCACATGCTCCTTATACATGGTCCTTAAGAATTACAAGATTATCTCACAAACTTACTAGATAGAGCAAGCATTATCTCCATTTTACAGATGAGTACATCAAGGTTGAGGAAGATTCATCTAATTTCTGAGGTTGTACAGCTGTGAGTGAAGGAAGGAGCCTGGTTTGTTGACTAAAGTCCTTTCTTTATCCATAATATCACTACATTGTAGGAAAGGGAGGATGAATTGTTTTCTGTATTTTTATTTAAGGGCGTGAATAAATCCTAATACTTACTGTAAATAACAGACAATCTTCTGGAAGTCCATGCCCAGGTCATTCAAAGTATGTTTTTTTTGTTGTTTGTTTTTTACATTAATCAAATGGCTGTTCTAGGTCTCCAGCACTTTTTTCTTCTTTCTTTTTTCCTAACAGAATTGCTCTAAAAATCATCCTTTATAATCTCAGAAGAAATCAGCATATTAATTAAAACTATTATAGAAATTCGGAGTAAGGACAACACAAGGGGCTAGATAGATTGTGGCTGATCCTTAAAATCAGGAGAAGGAAAGGCCAAATCTCTGGCAATATGGTGCTCTCCTCCCAAAAGAGGCTGAGATTCCTGGGACGCACGCACAGCTCTGTTGATGGATGGGGCTGTGGGCTGCACTATGCAGACGCCACTTCCAGGTTCCACACAAAACAACTCCCCTGTGGCCAGGATGGAAAAAGAATGACTCTGGCTCCTCTGAGGTGGAAAATCTCAAGAAACCAAAATGAAAAGAGGGTCCGTTTTGGCCTTTTGCCTGATTATAAACAGAGGTTCTGACTTCTGATTGCACACTCATTAAAGGGCTTCTGCTCTCACCTCAGAGCAACTGAAGGGTCTGAGAGATCATTGCTTTTAGAAAGCTCCGGGTTAGGGATCTGCGATCTTGGGCCTCATCCCAAAGGAGCCAGCCAGTGGGTATTATAGACCCTTGAAATGAGAAACTACCTGAAACAGCCTTTCTATGCCTTATTTTTTTCAGATTAAAACCCTGAAAAAGATGTGAGAAAAAAATCTGCTGTATGCCTGAAAATGTATCATTTAACCTCTGATTTTCAAAATAAAGGATAGAATGCTCCCCAAGCATTAGAAGGAGTAAGATCAGCATTATAAACATCCTTCTTCAAATACTTTAGTTTCCCATAGAGTCGGTTATGCTTACAAAGATTGACAGGAAAGGAGAGGTGGCAATGCCATCACCTGAACAGGTATAAAATCTCTGCCTTATGTGAGGGGAAGAAGGGAATCCATAAGCATTTTTTATGAACTGCTGCTGTATGCCTTCATATTACCAGCAGTAATTGGGAAGGGTTTTATTTCTCTTTTAATTTGCCTCACTTTTTCTAATTGAAGAAGCATATTAATATTTTGTCCATGAGTAGTCTACCTTTTTCATCCTACTCTTTTTGTCCCAAATTTCTGCAGTACTTTTCAATTTGTATAGGTCTCTCGTGAACAATCCCTTTTAACAATGATGGGGTTAAGAGAGGCTTAAAACTCTACAAGGAATGAGAGTAAAAATTTGAATTCCCTCAATACTTTCAGGCTTCTAGTTTTGAGGCCTAAAAGAGTATGTAACACACTTCAGACTGTAAATACTGATCTTAAAACATCACCATTGTATGACATATTAGAAAGAGAACTGGCCTTAAAGTCAGTGCCAAGGTTAGCTCAGGCCTCAGTTATTTATTATGATATTATCCATATAACACTTAGATTCACTTTTCCCATCATAAAATGGGACTCAAGATATCTAATTCTGATGTTTCCAATAACCTTTTCTGATTACCTCCATATTCAAGAATCATTGAGTGAGTTTTAGATGTAGTTTCTTCAAGAAAAAAAAAAGGTCAAATATCCCTGTAAGGTAACTAAAAAACATCCAAGTGATTCATGACTGGTAATAGGAGAATCTCCAGGTAGCAATAGGTTACTGGTCTATTATAAAAGTCCCAAACTGTTTTCCCTTGATAGAAACCTTCCCCTTAGGAATATATGCCCTACATTGTGTCCTCAGAGAAAATCTGCTCACAACTTTTATATGCAGTCACCCAATATTTTCATAATTTACTCATGGTATATCTGAGACCAGTTTGGAAAATCTAATTGAGGCTTTATTTATTTGGGGGAGGATTATAATCATCAAGACAAGGAAAATGTCACAAAACTAGACAATATCTTATCAGATACAGGTTGCTCCTCTTCGATCTCACATTGCTTATGCCATCCTGGTTTCTGTCATGCGTTTGCATGGTGAGCGCTATCTTAGCACCATTCCAGAGTCCACTTCTAATCATCAGCCTCTTTGTAAATCCAAAACCAGATTTCTGAACACCTTGCCTGAGCACCAAGAGCCAGCCATATCTAAAAACTTTTCAATTATGGGCACTAATTATTTCCTTGTTTTGATTAAGCATGTTTAAAATTATGTTTCTCTCTTTTATAACCAAGTTAATTTGTGCACATATTTTATTCTTATATCTTTTGCAGAACCTGGCAGAAGTGTCCATTATTTGTTAAATAAGTGCCTCAATTATTAGCTATACCACTATTTGAGAATTAAAATACATATTGTATAACATAAATTATGGCAAAAATAAGTAAATTCACTGAAAATCACTTCTGAAATAAGGACCATAAGTAGGATTAAGAAAGGTTTTGTCATTTATTTATTAGACATAAATTAATTACAAAACTGACTCATATATTCAAAAATATTTCAAATCACAAAAAATCAAAATTATTTAAAATATTAAAGTTAAATTATATTTTACATTTATGGGATATCCAATGTAATAATTAGAACTGAATAACTGGTTATATTCATGTAACAAAATAATGTAGATAAAAACATGACCAATATGTTAAATATGCTTATAACATACATTTATAACTTGTAAACCAATTTTATTTGGTCTCATAATAAGTAGAGAAAAATGGTACATTCAATTTTTAATGAGAATCTTTTGGTAAACTGAAATCAATGTGAGATTGTACATCTTGTCTTTATAGGCAAGTGGAACCTTATAAAAATTATGATTGGATGTATTAATTCTACTTTTTCCTGCACCTGTGATGCAAGTCAGTTGTTGAAATCCATTTGTCATATATGTGTGTGTGTGTATAAAAAATTTCAGTTTTCTTGAAATACAGGGGTGGGCAAAAGTAGATTTACAGTCATTCATATGGAAAAAGACATGGGTTATGATTATTATAATAGTTTTATTAACTCAAAAGAATGTCACAATGCAACTATAAACCTACTTTTGCCCATCCTTGTATATCAAATAGAGCAATTCTGTCCATTGATTCACAGTTTCCTTTCTTCCAATTTTTCAAAATTATAGTTTAGCATCACTGCAGTTTTAAATAACCCCATTTATTAAATGTTCCCTTAAGTGAGGCTTTCTAATGCCTCTATTTTCCAGATACTAGTGAGATAAAAGTATGATTTGTTTCCAGATTATCAGAGAACACTGGAAATGCTACCAAATGTTAAATATTGACCCTGGATTTTAATTTTACAAAGTTAGTTAAGAGAGTGCTGTACCCACAAAGCACTTAACTCTTTAAGTGACTTAATATCTGAAAGTCTCATTAACAAATCCTGGGTTAAGAAAGAACCTTTAACCCTAAATGCTGAAGACACTGGACTGGCCATACGCATCATACTAAAGAGATGCAAATCAACAAGAGATGCAAATCAACACTTTTAACACCATAAGACAAAATCCATTACAAGAACATCATATGTACAATAGAAACATATTCATCACAATCACAAAAGTGTCTAGTTTTTATTTTTTACCTTATATTACTGAAATATTAAGTGTGATTTACTGGAGGAGCATAGTAAAACCATGAAAATTAAAACATACTCAAGTGAGAGAAATTTTCAATTTTTCAAACATCAAAAAATGCATATATAATTAAAATGAATATAAAATGTATAGGTATAATTTCAAAAAGATGTATTTTTCTTCCATGTTACTTACTATCCGTGAAGCCGGAGCAAGTTATCATAATTTACCACAAGTGTGCTGACTTTTATTTAAACCAGACTTAAACCAATTTTCATTTAAAAGCTATTACATTTTCTGTACCTTTGATTTATATACCAAATGCACTATGTTAAACCTGAGTGTTTACACATGCATGGTATATAACACGTGATAAGGCACATAAAAATGCAAAATAAACATTTGCTGGCTAACCAATTTTGTTGTACAACCTGATCATTTAGACTTTCAAAATAGCTGTGTTACTTTCTTGACTCCTAGTGTATTAAAGTGCAATCAATTCTATTATTACATTTGTTATTTTAAAAAGAGATAAATTTCAACTACAAGGGGCACAGATACTACAATGTGAAAGGCACCTTTAAAAAATGTGTTCTATATCTTTCTAAGTCTTTAAAACATTCTGGAGAATAATATTAGTTGAAATCTTAGATTTCCCTTCATTAAATTTAAAGAAAACGGAGTAGTAATGAAACTGTATAAAATAGATTGCTCGGCAAAATAAAGACAAAAAAAACCAAACAAACAACATTGACAAAAGCATACTTTTGCTCTCAGGCATTGATTGTACAAGGTGACTTATTGAGAGGTGGGAAAAAAGTGGGGAAAAGGTTCAACATGGTGGGTTATATCATTAACTATAATTTGGTCCAAATAAGCAGGCACACATCTGTATTATGTAAATTATTCTAAGAAGGATAGGGGGCTTAGGGGATTCAAGAGAACTAACATGAGCACTAAGAATATATTTTCATGTAGAAAGAGATAAATCTTTGATGACAACATTTGCACTAAATCTATGCACACTTATTTAAAAATTAATGTCTCTATTTGTTCGATGCAAGCTATTCTCACATAGTCCAAATTAATCTGCAAAATGGGCTCATATAAAAAAATACTACAATCCAACACTGAATTCTAGAGTTAACAACAAATGACTCAAATAACATTTCTTTTTAATTATATATAAAGTCCACCCAACATATCCGCAGTGACTGCGAAAACTAGAGAGAATGGTGCCCCGGGATGGCAGTGCTGGAGTAAAGGTGATGGGACCCAGCCTCAAATCATGGAATATTAGTGATTATCTAGTTCAAATTCTGTGCACTGTGCAGCTGGGGAAACAGAATTCTCACACTGGGGAAGCAGCAGCTGTGTGGCTCTGAGGTCTCAGAAAGGTGGCCACAGTGCTTCACAGACTCAGACTTTATTTCCACTTTATAGCACAGCATCTGATACATGGTAGGTATTCTACAAATGTTTTGAGTGGGTTGTTGAATGAAAAAATGAATGAATGAATGAATGAACAAATCAATGAGAGAGAGAGGCATTGGCAGAACTAGGGTAGACTATATTTTCAGGAATGGAAGTTTGTCAGCATTCAGAAAATTAGGATGATAACTTGTTCTGTTACCACAAGCCCCTCAAAAACATTCTTGTTTGGGGCTCCAGTCATTAAAGAGACAATACCAGGTGCCTACAAAGCTGATACACCATGGGGCACTTTGAAGCAACTTTAATTTTCTTTTAGCTTTTAATGTCTCTGGCATTGCTTGTCAGTGGAGTTACAGCTGTTTGAAGAGACTTTGTCAACTCCACTCTGTGACACTCAACTTACTGAATTGCACTACACATAATACTATTCACATCTGCATTATGTCCTTGGGCCTCGGTGATGGGCAGACACTTGTCTCCACCCCACCCCCAGCAAACTGAGCACTCAATAGCAGGTACTGAGAGCAAAAATAGTGCTCGTTCGAAAGGCAGTTTCCAGAAGTGAAGAGGAGCAGGAGAGGGACACAAGTGAGAGCATGAAAGCTGTGAACACTTAAACTGCTTGATGAAAGGAGAAAATCTGTTAGATTTGTTATAATTGGAGCAGCATATGTAGGTCTCAAAGGAATATATGGGCAACTGGAAAATACAATTTTAAGTACAGGGTACAGGGAAGAAGTCAACAGCAGGTGTTGGTGTGTAAGCAAGTCAAATTTAGGTGAAAGAAGAGCAGGCACGCTTCATTACAGAATCTTGGAAGCCATTCCCTGCAGATTTAAGTGGGTAATTGAGGGTGACATTTAAAGTGTCAGGAGACCGTCTGGGAAATAGCTTCTGTGTTCCACACAGTCAGGTTCAAGTGCAAGGGAGGTCTTTGTAAACAGAGTTCATGGCAGTCCTTTGTGATAGAGGAGGGGTCACTAAGACTGCTTAGGGACCCAGGTAAACTTCCAGCCTCCCTTCTCATCTCGACGGACAAAGGCTTGTCCCTGGTGGAAGGAATGAGTTTTCACATTACAGTGAGGGCTCAGGGATGTGGAAAAGGCCATCTCTGTTTTATTGGGTGACACATCAGAAGTATAGTGAGGAAGAGCTGGCAGGCCTCCCGGGGGATTTGAAAGTTGAGAAAGGAAGTGGAAATCTTCCCCGTGGCTGGCAGTGCTGTGGGAAGCTGTTGTTCTCTCACCTCCGTAGGCAACTGGCATATCCTCCGTGGGGGCATTTCCATACTCAACCGGATTCTCTAAAAACTGGGGAAATGCACTGGTAACTGTTCTGGGATGCGGGGAAAGGGCACTGTAGTTAGCTGATAAGGTGTCGTCAATGGTGTTGAGGTCTTTTAACCCAAGTGTTTTAAGGACCCAGGGGTCCACTGGCGGGGCAGGTTGTTCTTCACAGTTAGCAAACTCACTAGAGAGGTTTCTCCTGGCATTTTTGCGGTGGAGGATCTCAAGAGGAAAATATCTTTGCTCTTTGGGTTTCCTCTTCGCCTTCCTGAATTTTCCACATGCTCTGGAGAAATCATCTGATGAGAGCAATTTCTAGGGAAGTAGCGTTTGAAAGTAATCAGAGTCAGGTCATCAAGCAAGATCATCTTCTTTACTGTTGTCCAATTACACCTACTTCAAACAGCAACTAGTCACTTCAATCATTAGAAAACTTGATTAAACTTCTATTTTCACGCACACACATGAACTGATTAGATTACTGTTTCTAAATTTAAGTCTATTATGAGAATTTACTACTTAGAAATCCAATTTATATATTTTTACTAGTATTTAAAAGTTAAAAGGAATAAACAATGTCTTTAAAATTTTAATTCAGGGAAGGAATGACTATTATTATTATAATGAAAATAATAGCAACGATCATGTGTTAGACAGAGGTTACATGCCATGATCTCATTTTATTTAAATACTGTTAAAATCTCCTTTAATGGAGAAACTGATAGACACAGACACAATGTGGTGAAAGGTGGGGGAGGGTGGGGGCTGGGTGGAGTAAGGCAAGGGGAGAGGAAATGGGGGACATCTCTAATAGTGTCAACAGTACAAAAAATGAAACTGAGGTGAAGCATACTAGCGACTTCCGAAAAATCATTCAGCTTAGATCTACATCTAAACCATCTGACACTAGACAGACCAGGAAAGGGGCTTGGGGGCTGGGTGAAAAAGGCACAAGAGTTAAGATAAATAAATAAATAAATACATACATACATACATAAATACATAAATAAATAAATAAATAAGTAAATAAATAGCAGGCATAAGAACACAGGAAATAAGTACTAAAACAATGTTTCTTGGTTTAAAAGTAATAAGATATTCCAACAACGTGTCTTTCACAATGAACGTAAAATAACATAGAAGTTTAAATGTTGGTATTTCTTCCTAAAGGAGAATTAAAATTATTTAGAATCACTGTCATAAAGAAAAAGAAAAGGGAAAAAGAAACACCGTGTAACTCCGTTTCCTTTTATTTCATGAACTTCCATGGTGCTCCCATGTGATATGTATTTTATTATTCTACATTTTGCAAAATTGAGAACAAAAGAGGAAAAACCGCCTAATTAATATTACTTAGTAATTTAATAACCATTCTTTTTGAGGGTCCATGATAATAACGAGGAGAGGTGCTCCCTTTTTAAACAAAACTAACTGAATTGTAAAGGAATTAAAATTAGTGTGCCCTTTCTCTCTGAACTGTTATGGTCAGTAAGAGTAGAAAGGAGCATCATCAATTTGTATTAAATAATATAGAATAATGTGGCTTTTCCAGAGAAGTAAGGTAAAGATTGATGGAAGCAATGATGATAACAGAATGGCAAAAAGATAACAAAAATTGTAAGACCCAGAGGAATGAAGAAGAGCAAAAAGGGCTATGGGCAAACTATTTACCTTTGAATCAGAGTAGTTCATTTTAAAAGTATAAGGGGGGGGAGTTCATTAATTAGCAATATCTAATGGTCAGTCAAGAGATCTGGGCTCCAGTCATAGTCATGACATTTCAGAGCTGGAAAGATTCTCAGAAGATCTTTTAGCCCCTTCATTTACAGATGAAGGCAACTGAGGCCCAAGGGAGAGAGAGTCACTGAAAGTCAAATGTGTGCTTAAAAGAGCCAGCTCTCTCGGATGTGATTCCCTCTCCAATGCGCCATCCAGATAACTCTGTCTTTTGATTAACTTCTGCTGTTTCAGCAAGTCCCTTGGCGGGTGTTTGATTCCCAGACAACTTCTTTTGTAATGTATGACTTGTAAAATCTGCAATCCAGTTGATTCCAAGAAATGATACATACAAATTTTCCCAAGCCCTGGCCGGGTGGTTCAGTTGGTCAGAGCATTATCCCATACACCAGAAGGCTGGGGGTCAGATCCCTGGCCAGAGCACTTACCTAGCTTGTGGGTTCAATACTCAGTTGGGATGTATACAGGAGGCGGCCAATCTATGTTTGTTTCTCTCTCATATCAATGTCCTCTCTCTCTCTCTCTTTCTTTCTCCCTACCCTCCCATCCTCTCTCTCTAAAACCAATAAATGTATCCTCAGGTGAATATTAAAAATATTTTTCAGAAAGTGCTATATTTTGTTTAGAAATTTTTATCCATCCTATAAATGCATTTGAAGGCATGCTGTTTAGCACACTTCCTACATTTAATCAAGGAGTTTTACCTAAGTGGGCTCCTTTCTCAAATCACCAATCACTCTGCCTTTATAAAGGGGAGAGTTACATACCTTGGCTTTTTCCTCAAGACATTTCACCAAAGCAGAATTCAGGTATTGTCTGAGGTGATTGTTCTCTTCATGTAACCTAGCAAGTTCTTCTTCCTTCTGCACTAGAGTATCTTGTAGCTGCAAAAAGTGGACAATGGTGAGGGCTGCTCCTCTATGTTGACTTTGTAACCTTGTAATAATGCCACTGATCCACAACCTGCTTAAAGCTGATTATTTTGTTTGTTTTAAGAACTCTACCTCAGGGAGCCTTCATCCTCAGAGGCCTAAATATAGTCTACACCCACCTACCACCTGATTGTTCAGTTTTGTGCACTGAATTTTTTTGTTCATTGCAAGGTGTTTGAAGAGATTATATGACTTTGAAATTGTAACCACAAGGGAAGGTATGTAGGAAAATGAGCTGCAAGCAACTGTTTAAATACAGAAAAAGGGGTTCAGAATAGTTTTGCTCCTTACATCTTAAACAAAGGAAGAAGAAACAAAGGTGAGTTGGTTTGCATCAGCCTCAAATCGATTCGTTTGTTTGTTTGTCCACTTAATTAAATCTCTCTCGGGAACAGCAACAAACAAAAGTATGGAATATGAATCAATCTTTGTAAAACTTAGAATCATCACTCCTTCTCCAAGTGATGAGCCATGTTTGTGACTTAAAAACATTATCACATTCATTATATCATTTGATCTTTCCAACAGTTCTTAGAGGAAAGCAGCAACAAATATTCCAATTTCATAGGCAAGGAAAAAAGGATTCAGGAGGTCATACAACTAAAAAAAGGTGAAGAGCCAGGGCCTGACTTCCAGCTTTTCTAAAGGATTGTTGTTGTTTGGGGGGTGTGTGTTTGGGGGGGATTGTTTGTTTTCTTTGGTATTAACACCTAACTTTTATAACTCTATAGACATATATCCACTTGGGTCCTAAACTGAAGGTCAGCACATGAATTTATGGCACCAGGGAAGAGAAGCAGTGTGACACTGAGGGGCAGCAGTAAGAACGGACTGCATGGAGCGTGGCCAGTCCCCGGTTCCGACCCTGTGTACATACCTGCTTGTTTCTGTAGAGCTGAGAGGAAAGCTGAGCCTCTTCCCACGAACAAGAGTTAGAAAGGGGGAAATTCGAGTCACTAGATGATTCTATGTGGAAACACCAAATGGGTAACTGAGAAAACACACTTGCAGTTTTTGTGCAATAAGGAATTCACCAAATGATTTCAGGAACATTAAAAGTTTCAATTACTCTTCCAAAAATAGCTATTGCCTCCACATATGAAAACAAAATATTTAAAGCTTTATGAAAGGGGCAGCATGCCATAAAATACAAATATTTGTAGGCTATATGCCAGAGTGGCTTCAGGGGTCAATTTTTAAGAGCTAACAAGTTCCTCCCTACTATTCCTCCTAATATTTGTATCTCTGTTGGCTAAATTTACAAAGACTGTCCCATCTGTATTATTAATTCATTCAAATATGTATTGATCCTCCTCCTGCCACGGAGCATAATGTAATTCTACTCTGTTTTAAAGTTTTTTCTATGCCTCAGTGCTTGAAAATGTAGTATTTGGTTCTAGAATCAAATTCTATTTTTGATGCTACCATTTTTCACTAATGAAAATTTCTGCCTGTCTGCTTTTCCATTAAGTCTGGTGAGCAATATTTATTCAGAATCCTGTGTGGTAGCAATTTCTACCTTAAAATAATTTGGACCTTGCTTTTCTGAAGACACTGGTGAAATATCAAAACTAACTCAAACTCATGCATTTCAAATGTCTTTCTCTATATGCTTTACAAATTTTTTTTTAATTTGCCAACAAGCCATACCTACCAAAAGAACTATGGTTAGGCATGCTGAATTGGTTTACTTATACCTACTTTTCCTCAACTAGTACAATTATGACACTTGCCTTTCTCTACTTAAACTGACATACTACTGAATTATTTTAACTGCAGTAGAAGAATGAATAAGGAGTCAAGAATAAAATTTTATACACTACTTGATTTCATATTCTTGGGCATTGTATCTCTTTATTGCTTGTGGTAGAAAGCTGAAACTAGCAACTCTATCCTGATATATGTATTTTTCAACAGTTTGTGGCTTTTGTGTTTTTTCTCGAATTCACAAAATTATGTGGCAGAACCAACGGTGCAGATATTTAATTCTGAAGTTGCTAAGGGTCCTTTCATAGACTTGAACATTACTACAGAAATTTCTTCAATATGTATAAATACTACCTACTAAGGCCCAGGTCAAAATTGATATGTAATTTTTCATCCATGTTGTACTTCCCTTCAAAATTAAAGTCCTCTTTGGATGAAAAGGAATTCTTTTTTCTACTTACAAGGCACTGTTTATAAAATTTCCTCTATGAAACAAAATATTAAGTTAGTATTTCTCCTTGTTTCTCTCTCATACACAGGGAAACTTTCCTGAGTTCCAAAAGAGATGCTCCAACTGGTATCTTGACTCAAAAAACATCCCACCAGTATTGCCTATGAAACTGTGTCCTAGACCCAAACTCCCTCAGTGAGTTGGAAATCTCTAAGAACTGGAAAGTGTAGGGGAAAATACAAATTGTCCAGTAGGCAAGGAAAAGAATTCTATTCGTACTATTTGGTAAATACAAAATAATAAGTTATTTAGCTCATAAGATGCAGGGGTTTTCGGGTTTTCTTAAACTTTCCATATCATCCCTTCTTCTACAGACTTCCAGCCCATGATGCTTTGCAACTGTAGGTTGCAAAGGGCTTCAGAGCTACCAGGAAAGCAGAAGAGCAGGACTTACCCTGTGCCTGTGGTGCTTGTTGGGACTCTCTGTTGTCCAGGAGACCAGCAGCCCAGAAAGAGACCCAAGTATCCGTGGAAACGTCAACACCAGATTCTGACGTTGCAGAGGAATACGGGCAATTGTAGCTCTGGCCTCCTACAAAGTACTGGTCTTGGCAAGGCAGAACGGTGTTCTGTGAAAATCGGTATGAAGAATAGGGGGTTTCCAGGAGATGGGGTGATGGGGATTCGGAGAGAGGAGAGGGTGGGAGAAAGATGCCAAAATTACATTCACTGAATCAAACACAGTAAAGGTGTTAAGTGTAGATCCCAGTTTAATTTTGAGTAGTCAAAATATAAGTGCTAGAGGGGGAGTCATCTCTTTGGTTTACCCAATACTTTCCTGAGGCTTCAACAAAGAACAGGCTAGTACTGGATGGACCAAATCTGTACATATCTGGGAATATTCTGTTGCCATGTCTGAGTCATCTGACAGTAAAAGGAATTCTAGTTCATGATTCAAAGACCTAAGAACTATTCTATTCTTTCTAGCAAATATCCTAAATATATTTTCAATAGTCTCAAAAAACAGAGAGTGCTAAAACTGAAATAAACTTAACAATAAAATATAACCTAACCTCCTTATTTTAGTTTCTTTCTGAATTATAAACATGGCCCATTTGTCTCTTTTTCTTTCCCCTTGCTTTAAATGCTGCTGGATCCTCTGGTGAACTGAGTTGTTCCAGATAAATGCATAGATATTTTCCAGAGATAACTAAGTATATATTGTTGCTGACTCCTAATTAAACACAGGAGCATAAAGTCACTCAGAGAAACATAGAATCAAAGCTGAAAAAAATTAGTCAGCAGAGACGGCAAGCGCTAGGTCTCTCCATCACTAGGTCTCAATGCCCTTCCAAAGTTATCTCGCCACTCCTAACTTCCTGGCACGAATTCTCCACTGTGTTCTGAGCCAGTGAACAGCCTCCTGCTCCGGCTCCTCAAACACGGTCTTTCCAAATGTCCAGGCAGGGGCAGGTATGCAGCAGCCTTCCCGGGTTAATTTGTACAAAAACTCATTTCTAAACATTTGTCAATGTTTAATCAGGTAAAAGCCATTCATTTGAACAGAACCCAGCTTTGGACAAATCCTTTTTGACCACTATAAGTCCTTTGTTGACTAAAGAACTTTCTTGGTCATAACATAAACAGAGAGAAAACAAGTAGCAAAAAAGAAGTAAAAAAAAAAAAAAGAAAGAAAAGAAATTACACTTCGTTGATGTTCCTGGTAAATTAAATTTTGAAAAAGTCCCATTTTGAAGCAAACCCAGCTTGGGCAGTGCAGACCAAAGAAATTCAGCCAAAAGTTTATCAAGTGCTATTTTCTTTTATTCTAAAGGCATGTTTGCAGGCTCTTTCCTTGGGGTCATTACTGGAATCAGAGTTGAGCTATTATGCAATTGACACCTGAGAAGAAAATAAACCCCAAATAGCCCTAGACTAGGTCAGGTCCAAGTGTTTGCAAATATGTGCAAAACCTGGAGAAAGAGGTGAAATGAAAAGTAAGTGCAGGTGTACAGGGAGAAATGTTGGAAAAGTGTACAAAGAGTAGAAATAACAGAGAGAAAGAGAATAGAAATAAGAGAGAAAGAGCGATCAGGGGAATATAGGGAAGAGGAAAAGGGAAATGGTTAGCAGAGCAGACCTGCCTTGACAGGTAGCAGAGAAACCTTGGTAGCAGAGAAATCTCGCTTCCAAGGTGGAAGGAAAAAAATGCAAAGCTTACTAGCACTCAGCACCCTGAGATTTCTCCAGTGAACTAGCAAGCACCAGCTCCTCACTTACCATCTTGCAGTGGAAGAAGGCGCTGAAGAAACTGAACCCACTCTTAATTTTTCGGTAAAGCTGGTGGGAGTTTTAAATGGGACTGAGGGGAGGAGCTAGGAGAGGCGAGTTCTAGTCTTCAGGAGCTGCGGGTGACGCGGGGGTCTCCCGGTGAGCGCAGCCCTCTGATTTGATGCGAAGCTGTCAAACTGGTGACGTGGGCCAGGGAGCGTCCAGCCAAAGCCAAAATCACTAGCGCACACAGAGACCACAGTACCTGGACCTGAAACCTGCGGGTCCGGTGCGCAGCTGTGCTTCACAACTTGCGCCTGTGCCGGCTTGCTGCCCTCCAGTAAGGAGTCAGGGGTGGCGGTGGCCGCGTCGCCCGGACCCCACGGGGCGAACACAGGCTCTCCACGTCCCCCCCTGCACCCCCACTCGATGCGAAAGGCCGGGCAGGGCGGGGAAGACTAGTCCGCAGGTGCTTGGAGCAGGGTCAGCCCGCATCTTAGAGATCTGGGCAGCACTTGGTGAAGCCATACAACAGGCCCCAGAGTTAATACTGCTCCTGTGTATTTTTCCAGCCACGTGATAAATATTAACTTCACGTATGACATTGTGAGTTGATTGGCTCCCCCCCCGTTCTGTTTAATATGCCTCATTTCTCCCAGCTCCTACAGTGGGTGTTCCACGTGGAGGTGACAGATCTCTATTCTGTTCTGTAAGCTTCAGAGAATAGAGGTTTCTGCCTGTTTTGTTAAGTTCCTGGAACGCTTTTTAGTATGTAACGGGGCGCTCGAGGAAGAATGAATTAAGTTACAAATTAAGAATCTAAAGTGCCTACCTCTGTGTTGATATCTTTACAACCACTAGTATATAAATAAATTATTACAAGTAAGAAAAATGAGTGTGTTTATACTTCTCAAAGTGTTTGATTCCCACCATCTTCTTTTGTATTTTATTCTCATGATTCCTGTGATTTTATATGTGGAGCAGTAAGAGGAGTAATATCATCTTTAAAACCATTCGTCTACCACTAATAGCCAACTTATTTCAAGCGACAATAGCCTAAGAGGTAGGTGCTTTTATCATCTCTGGTCTAAAGGCTGGCAAATGATGCACTGAAGTTCAGAAGCTTGACTAGAGTTTATACAACTACATAGTGGCAGACTCGGGATTTGAACCTCTGGCTCCATCATCCATGCTTCTAACTACTGAAAATTTTTTTTATTCTCTTTAATGTCATTCTACTGCCATTTATGCACTGGGCATTTTATGCACTGAACTGGGCTCCCCTGGAACTTATATGTTGAATCTGTAACCCTCAATGTGACTATCTTCAGAGTCAAGGCCTCTAAAGTGGTAAACAAGGTTAAGACGTTGCAACAATGGTGCTCTAAGCTAATAAGCCTGGTGTCCTTAGAAGAAGAGAAAGAGACCCCAGGGATGGCATGCACAGAGAAAAGGCCAGGCGAGGACACAGCCGGAAGGCAGCTGTTTTCAAGTCAAGGAGAGAGGCCTTAAGGAGAAACTGAAAACAGCTGACACCCTGATCTTGGACTTCTAGCCCCCAGAAAAGCGAGAAAATACATTTCTGTGCTTCAAGTCCCCCATCTGTGGTTCTTGTTATAGAAGCCCTAGCAAACTAATGCCGGCAGGGTGCAGAAACTGAGAAAACCTCTGATTCTGGCTTGCATCGTCTTTCCTCTAAGCCAGTTTTGATCTTTATGTATTCTTCCTTGCCTTGTACTTATCCATAGCACTTAGCAATGGATTGCACGCAGCGGACACTCTATTAAGTGCTTTCTGTACAAAATTAAGAAAGGAATTGAAGAGGAAGAGCGGGAAGGTGCTAGACTTCACAGAGTCCTTTTCTCCTGTTCTAATGCTGTTTATTCACAAGCATTTTAAAGCGGAGCGTGCCAGGTTTGGAGACGGCTGGCTGGAAGATACTGTCTGGGTTACCGGACATGAGTGGTCCCTTCTCTGCTCTCACTGCACAAGGGGCAGGATGACTCTGAGATGATGGGGGAAACGAATCAAACCCAGTTTAGGTAGTAAGAATCAATGATCTCACTTGGGGCAAAGAAAACCCTAATTTGTTAGTTTTGTGAAGAGCACTCCTGGCAGATAATGGAAGATTGAGTTGTTTTTTTTTGTATGAAAACTGTCATAAATGAAACCTGTGAGCTTGCAGAAGATATTATTTTCTGACTCTAAAAATGACTCAGAATGGGCAATTATAAAAACATGGTGTAAAAATAAAGGGCATAGGCTTTGGATCCAAATATACCTGGGTTGAAATTCCAGCTCCACGCTCTGAGACTGAGTCACCTGACACTACATTGTCATGTTCTCTAAGTCCTCGGTTAGTTCCTCTAGGAAACTAAGAAAGAAACACCAATGTAAAAGGTTAAAAAGCTAACCACTGATGCTTGAATAATCCCAACTCACTGCCTACATTATGGATACTATCTATTATTGCTGTTTGGTGTAGAGGACATTGCCTTTTGAACTTATGTGCTGCTGTGCCTTGCATATTGCAAATAACAGAAGATGAAAGCCACATTAAAAAACAGAGGTTTTTGAGAGCTAAAGTATTTTTAAAGTATTTGATGCATTTTAAGTGTAACAATGTTTCATCAGTCATTAACTACTTTAGTAGAAGTGGGAATATAGATGGTGGTGGAGAATCCCTTAAGTTGAACAGTGAAGAGCTATTGACAATTGAACATAAATCTGAAGATAAAGCTTTCCTAAAATCAGAAACTGATGAAAAAATTTCCAAATTTTTAAGCACTTCTTTTTATTTCGGATCTACTGTTTAGGTATAAGTGTTACTTTTTGTGGTTGGTTGGTTGACGATTTTTTTTCAATGAGTCAAGTAAGCCATAATATGAAATCGTTTAGAGTTTTTATTCATATTTTTTATAGAAAATGTACAACTTCCTTAGAGATTATAGCTGATGTAGATGTTATTTTCATCTGTGAATAATAAGTTCAGTTTAAAACTGCCTTTTGTGTTGTGGCTGAAGTGATGGCGTTATAGGGGAGGTGGCTAATAACAGCCCAATTGTTGAGTCCGGGCACTGCCTCCTGCCAGGGCAGAGATACAACAAAATAGGAAGTAATTCGACCTGCACACAAACCAAGCCTGCAGACAGAAAAGAGTAGAGTATGATGAGAGGTGGGTCAAAGAGATAAATACTTTGGCATATGGAATGTTCTTTTATTTCACCCCTGGAGGACACATTATTCAATTACCTCATTAGTGAATTCAGTAGCATGTATAATAAAAGAACAATTTTAAATTCTCTTTACAAGCATAGCTTTTTCCTATAGCTATAACAGCTGAATCTCCAGGCAATAAAAAGATAGTATTTCTGCTTTCACATGTAGGTAAAGAAAAGCATAACCCTTAGAGAAAATTCAGTGCAGTAATAATTTACTTTGGAAGATTTAACATTTGCATATTTTATTTCAGCATAGCTGCAGAACCATGACACTTTTAGTTTAGAAAGAACTGGCTTTGAATTTCACCGCCCCAGAATGATGTGCAGAAATAAGTCATGTTTCTATGAACAGTCTTGCCTGCTCCCCAACATTTACATGTCAGAATAGTTTCTAGCAATCATCACATATGCAATAACTTCTGCCACGGGGAAAAGCCATTTATACATGAACAAGAGGTATGTAGAAGAAACTAAACTGTTGATTCTGACAACAAAAAAATTTCAAGAAATGTTTGAGAAAGTGATATTAGGTTGTTAGCCATAAAAGAGAAAGGCCTTGGATAAATTAAAGAGTAATGTGTTCAATTCAATACTGACTCCGAATAGCTTTCTTTATATAGATGAGTATGTGTGGGAGGGAGGGAAATGGAGATTTATGACACTATTTTATTGGATGTTTGAGCCAGAATTTATTTTAATAGCTTTTTTAAGTGATTGCCTAATTTTTAACTATATTTGCATTACATCAAAGAAAATCATATATTGTTCACAAACTGAAGATTCTCAAGTATAATGGTATATATTTTAAATATCAAAAATCTCCTTTATGTTGAGGATTAACTGGCAAATAGATGTAGATCTGTATTTGTTACACAAAATGAGGCAAAACCTGCCGTGCACTCGGTGGCATTGTTTTCTGGATTTTCTCATCATATAACGCTTAAAAATAATGTTTCTGGGCAAGCTAGAATAAATAGCTGAAGCTTATCATGGCGTTGACAGGCATGAGACTTCCCACTTCTCCCAGGGCTGATCAGGGCTCTAACTCACTGTGATCTGGTGCAGGAGCTGGGAAACTGCTCCGCGGTAACCTGTATGGCCCAGTTGAAATAAATTAATCTCAATTCTGCTATAAAATACATACAAAACAGGGAAATTAACTTGGCATTACCACAAAGGTCAGAGATGTGGAACCCAAACAAAACAAAATACAACTCTCCTCCCTATTACTTTACTCCAGCCACATTAGAAAATAATTAAAATAGTAAGGTATTAATGATAACTACACCCCAGAAATATTCTGGTTGAATTATAATTTGAAATGGGATGAATTTCTGCTTCAGAAATCCAAGCATCTTCATAAAGTGGGCTCCAGTGCATTCATTGCTCCTGAGATTGTCCTTAAGGACTTTTGATAGCTTGGTGGATGGATTGCTGACTAGGCATTAAAGATCTGAAAAGTGAATTGTCACTGACCATGGCATCTAATTTTATCCTGAGGATAATGGAAATAAAGACATCGCTGTAGTTTCTTTGAAAAGTTTAGCCCATTGTGTAATAGCAAAACAGGACAAATGAAACCTGCTTCCTTCTAACCCCGGAATAATCAGAGAAACTGCAATATTGTGGTCTATTTCATGAAAGAAAAAAAGCAGAGAAATATATTTAGATATAAGATGTTAAGCTACAGTGAGGTTGTAGTTCCATATTTTTGTAATCCACAACATGTTAACTGAATTCTTATTAATCCATTAATTTGTGGTAAAAATTGCCTTGTCATCAAACCAGTGACTTACTTGAAAATTATAACAATGACATTTGAATGATTCTAGTCACACTCTGTTTTCCACATTTGTTTTTCATAAAATGTAAGCATAATGCCAACCTGTAGCCAGTAGAGACATTTATATGTTCAAAACCAATATGATAAAAATACAGAGATTTATAACCTCTATGATGTTAATAA